TTAGTATGTTTGTTAGTATGTGAGTTAGTATGTTTGTTAGTATGTGAGTTAATGTTTGTTAGTATGCGAGTTACTAGTGTTTTAGTATGTGAGTTAGTATGCGAGATAGTATGCGAGTTAGTATGCGAGTTACTTGTTTTAGTATTTTTGTTAGTATGCGAGTTAGTACGTTTGTTAGTATGCGAGATAGTATGTTTGTTAGTATGCGAGTTACTTGTTTTAGTATTTTTGTTAGTATGCGAGTTAGTACGTTTGTTAGTATGCGAGATAGTATGTTTGTTAGTATGCGAGTTACTTGTTTTAGTATTTTTGTTAGTATGCGAGTTAGTACGTTTGTTAGTATGCGAGATAGTATGTTTGTTAGTATGCGAGTTACTTGTTTTAGTATTTTTGTTAGTATGCGAGTTAGTACGTTTGTTAGTATGCGAGATAGTATGTTTGTTAGTATGCGAGTTACTTGTTTTAGTATTTTTGTTAGTATGCGAGTTAGTACGTTTGTTAGTATGCGAGATAGTATGTTTGTTAGTATGCGAGTTACTTGTTTTAGTATTTTTGTTAGTATGCGAGTTAGTACGTTTGTTAGTATGCGAGATAGTATGTTTGTTAGTATGCAAGATAGTATGCAAGTTAGTATGCGAGTTACTTGTGTTTTAGTATGTGAGTTAGTATGTGAATTAGTATGTTTGTTAGTATGCGAGTTAGTATGTTTGTTAGTATGTGAGATAGTATGCAAGTTACTAGTGTTTTTAGTATGTGAGTTAGTATGTTTGTTAGTATGTGAGATAGTATGCAAGTTACTAGTGTTTTTAGTATGTGAGTTAGTATGTTTGTTAGTATGTGAGATAGTATGCAAGTTACTAGTGTTTTTAGTATGTGAGTTAGTATGTTTGTTAGTATGTGAGTTAATGTTTGTTAGTATGCGAGTTACTAGTGTTTTAGTATGTGAGTTAGTATGTGAATTAGTATGTTTGTTAGTATGTGAGTTAATGTTTGTTAGTATGCGAGTTACTAGTGTTTTAGTATGTGAGTTAGTATGTGAATTAGTATGTTTGTTAGTATGTGAGTTAGTATGTGAGCTAGTATGCAAGTTAGTATGCAAGTTAGTATGCAAGTTACTAGTGTTTTAGTATGTGAATTAGTATGTTTGTTAGTAAGCGAGTTATTATGTTTGTTAGTATGTCGCTACCAAAGCATTACTGTCACTACCGAAACATGGGATGTTTTCTCAGAAATAAAGTATACTGAATTATCAACTAAGCTGTTATGATAGCTTTTGGTTCAATGTATATTCAAACTAATGAACCCTTAACTTTGAAATCAGTTTGATCAACGTTATGCCTTTTACAAAGAACAAATTGGATTCAAAATTACACTTGAAATATTGTTAAAAATGTAACTGTTATTGATTTACCTCTGGAAAAAAAAATAGCAAAAAAATATATTTACAATAAATAAATATATTTTTTGGAAAAAACGGGTTTTAACCAATTCTGGCCCATATAGATGTAATTAAGAATTAGATTTTGCTTAAAGTCAGTGCTATTACTGTTAATTAATAAATTAAAACTATTCAAAAATGTTTTGGTAATTGAAATAGAGCTGAAATAAATATTAGATTAAAAAAAACCCCCAATGAAATAGGTTTAAGGACTAAAATTGAAATTAAGCAAGATAAAAAAAATGACAAAAGCACATAAAATTAGTAACAAATAATATGTTAAATGAAATATTAATAAATACTATATCATATAAATAATGGCAAAATAACACCGCTTAAAGTAAATTATTATTTTCAATTAAACACATTCCCATAAAAAACCCCTGAAAAGCACACCGAGCTGGTTTGTGTTTCTGTGGAAGACAGAGGCAGCCCACAGAACCGCATTCACTTAATATCTTTATACATCAGCACTACGTAATCATGTGACTCTGACATCAGATTCACTCGCCTTTATGTCGTCCAGCTTGTACTCTAATAGGCTCTCTGGCTCTCCAAGCCCCGCCCACTCATCGTCCGCTCCGCCGTCATTGGCTGGGCTGTCCATGATGACCTCGAAGAAGACCATCTTCTCGGAGAACCTGCTGAAGTTGTTGTCGAAGCAGATCTGATAGTCTCCCGCCTCCGTGGGCTCCACCCTGAAAACAGCGGACCAATCACACGCGAGTAAGTCATCTAGCGCATGTTTACACCGCAAAACAATAGAAAGCAGCAGCTGAATGGTGTGAACGGCCCAACACTTTATATGTGACAGGAGGACCATAGTACAGTAATGTATGATAATACCATGGTATTTATCACACGTACATCTCAGAGACGTCTGCAAGACGTATGTTTAGAGTGCTTGCTCATCTGCAGTACGTCTATAGGAGGAGGTTTCCCATCAGATGTCAAATAGACGTTTAGAAGATCTGTTTATGATTTAGAATGCATGTGTTAAAGACCTCTATCAGATGTTTGGACACAGCAGATGCTTTCCAGATCTTTAGCAGAGCTCTTGCAGACGTGCGTGTGCTATCTGGCCAATTAACGCACCACGGTATGGTTTCCCAAATGAAATGTCTGAGCGAGATGAGAGCACTCACATGTGAACGCCGTCAGAACGGCGAAACTCGGAGACCAGGTGGATTGCCTGAGGAGAGACGATGGAGAAATCCACATCCATACCTGCTCCGGCGATCACCTGCACAAACACAACGCCATAGTGACCGCAGTTTAACTCTGCCACTTCTAAAACAATCAGAGTATCTTTCCATTAGGTTTGCCTTTGCTAACATCACGAGAGCGTTACTTCTGAATAGTGACTTCCCTGACAGCACACGTACATCTCAGAGACGTCTGCATTACATCTGCAAGACGCATCTTTAGAGTGCTTGCTCATCTGCAGTACGTCTATAGGAGGAGGTTTCCCATCAGATGTTTAGAAGATGTCTTTAAGATGTTTATGATTTAGAATGCATGTGTTAAAGACCTCTAGCAGATGCTTTCCAGATCTTTAGCAGACGTACATGTGCTGTCAGGTGTATAAAGGTTTTCATATCGTTTAGAGAACCTCGCCAGAGCGTCCTCCGTCATCTGTGTTTGTGTGTAACGTTACATATCTCAGAGCTCGCGCTGTAACGTTACCTGGTACTCGATCTCGATGCTGCCGTTGCGAACAGCGCTCTGGTAGAAACACTCTTTGCTGGCAGCTGGCAGCAGAAACGTGAACTCGCTGTCGGTGGGACTGAACGCGGTGACGGCGCCGATGAGCAGCGCGACGCATCCGAGCAGAGACGCGTCATGCATGCTGTAACTCAGCGGAAGAGCGCTTTAAACAGCGCGTGTAACTGCGTCCTGCAGCGGATGTGTTCCGCTTCCGTAGCGCAACTGTTGCTGCTGCGCTCAGCCAATCAGAGCACACCGAGTGTCCGCGCTGCAGCCAATCAGCGCGCAGGGACGCGTGTTACACATAAAACCATGTCATCGAAACCATAGACATATAAATACCTAGACGCCTCATTGGCCGCTGGATCGTACGTCAACGTCGCCACCATCTTGGTGCGGGCATCTTTTCCATCATTCTCATAAGTGGACTCGAGAAAATGCCTCAGTCGTGTGCTGCTTGGGGCTGTACAAACCGCCGTACAATTGAAAATAGGTCTCGGGGAATTACTTTTCACAGGTAAGACTGAAAAGTTGTTGACTGACACTGATCTGGTTGTATTTGGTCATTAAAACATTATGTTGACACAACTTGACAGTAATTGACGTCGGAGTCAGACTTAATAGCTAGCGACATAGCTATTTAGCTGCGAGTCTAGGAAACCAGAAATGTTACATTCTTTCTTATATAGATTTAGCGTATGGTAAATTATATATCATAAACTAAATTGCCCGTAATCGAGATATTCATTTATATTGCTGTTTTTTTCTCAAAACGAATTCTTGTGCCAACCTACTCGTTTCGGCTAAGTAGTATGAATCTAATTTAACGTTAACCGTTAGTAGTTGGCTAGCTGACGTTAGCTAACTCTTCTCACACATTGAAGGTTTCCCAAAAACAAAGAGTTGAGGAGGCAGTGGGAAGTAGCTCTAAGAAGAGAAGGTTTTTCCACAAGCGAGTCCTCCGTGCTATGCAATGAACGAAATTAACATTACTCAAAATATTTTCATTCTTTTCTCTAATAGGACCACCCCTATGCAGTGCCTGCATCTCCCACTGGTCTAAAGACCAGACTCCGTGAACACCTTTGACAGGACAGGTCCAATTGAGAGGATTAGGGATGGAGCTAAACCATCGATCTTCAGCTTTCGCCCTCATCTACAAAGAGCAGTAGATGAGGATTTGACTGGATTCAACACTGGATTATAAGGATTTGATAGCTTGTCATTAAATTGTGACATATATTTCATATTTATTTTAGCCTGTGGCAACCAGGAAAGCAGAGGCCTTCGA